TTAATGGTTAACACATCTGCCTAAGATGTAATACAGCACAGGTTCTAATCCCGGTAAGAGTATGGCTAGCTGATGAGAGCTAAATAGCTTGAAATAGATGTATACTAGTCTCCCTTTATTTATTTATCAGCACAAATACACACACACACACACACACACACATATATGTGTGTGTGTGTGTGTATGTATATATGTATATATGTATGTATGTATATATGTATATGTGTATGTGTGTGTGTGTGTGTGTGTGTACACACACATACATACATAGATACATACATGTATATAGAGAAAAATGATAAAGCAACACGTAGACTTAAAGTCAGAAATATTCTTGTTAGGTATAATACCTGAAATTTATAATAAAGGGAATACATATTTAATGTTGCATATACTGACAGCAGCGAGAATTGTATTTGCACAATATTGGAAAAATGAAGATAAAATATCTTCTGCAGATGAAAATATAATCAGAAAAATATTAGACTGTATGGAGATGAATAGACTAACACTGAAAATAAAAGGAAGAAACAGAATATTTTTAAACCTGGGACTTATTTGATCAGTGGCTAGGTAAAAAGAGTAGAAGTTAGAAGACAAAAGAATATTGTTATGTAAAAGTAAACGATGAAAGATTATTACTACACATAAGTGAATATTATTATCATTATTACTATTATTAGTAGCACGACTATTGTTTTGCAAAAGTGAATGGACTCAGACAATACACTGTTGACTAAGCACTTTTGTATAATAATGGAAAAAAATGTATAAATATTTTTTTAAAAATGGGGAAGAATCCAGAAACAGTCATAGCGGAACTTCAACCAACTTTAAATTATTAATCCCCTACACAGTAGGAGACTAGTAACCCAAGGGGCTAATGTCTCAGTGGGGTTGGATACATAAACTCCATGCTCACGTTATCCTAAAACATAGATGTGTTAACTAAACCACATTTTACTAAGCTACAAACTACCCATTACAAACAGGAGTAACCAGGTTAGTACAGTGAATCAAGCAACTATCCAATATAGATTGCAATGACTGTTTGTTGGACAGAGGCCACAGAAATAAACAAAGATTATACTGAATGCTTCTAGTAACACCAGAGGTCTGAGACAGGATTATTCCCCTGCTGTTATTTGCTACTTTTCAACCAAATATAATCCCTTTTCCCGCGTGTGTGTTTGCATTATATAGCTTAGGTTAAAACTGTTATCTCCCTGGAGATTTTCATTATAGCCCAAGCAAAGAAGGGAAGAAAAGGGAAGAAAGGAAATAATTGACTTTAAAGCGCATTGGAGCAATTCGAAAGTTTTTTAAGGCCCCAAAATTTCTCGTCGTAGTTCAAAACTGCTAAAGCCTTGTCATCCTGTCTCCGCACTGACAAAACTGGTTTGGCTGCAAAAGGCTCATACCTAAACTATCCGAAAAACAAGCCGAAGCATTATTCAAACCGGTCTTTCACGTCCAATTATTCAAACGACCGGACAGAAGTGGGTACTTTCAGATGAACAGTAATTTCGCCAAATACAGTACCTATGTATACGATTACCGTAAAAAGAGCTTCCTCACTTAACCAAACTAGTTGTACCCACCCTAGTCACCCAGAAGATGACTTTACCAATGCTTATTTAAGCAGAAAGAAGAAGAAATATCAGTTTCCCGTCCTTTCCTTAACATTTAGGCCACATTCTCTGTGTCACCTAATGTACTTTTAAAAAGATGCTCATGGTTGCTAACAAATTCAGTGGGAGGCTAATAGGCAAAAATGGTTTTATTGTTTGTTTTTAACTTGTGTTTTTAGCTTATATGTAGCTGTAAGCCACCCAGAGTTATCCTAGAAACCTAGCTGGAAGTGGGTATATCTAGTTTAATGAAAAGAAGGACTGGGAGCATGACACCGGTAGCAATGTTCCAATATCTCAGGGGTGCCACAAAGAAGAGGGGATCAAGCTATTTTTCAAAGCACCTGAGGGCAGGACAAGAAGCAATAGGTGGAAACTGATCAAGGAGAGAAGCAACTTAGAACTAAGGAGAAATTTCCGGACAGTTAGAACAATTAATCAGTGAAATAATTTGCCTCCAGAAGTTGTGAATGCTCCAACACTGGAAGATTGTAAGAAGTTGGATAACCATTTGTCTGAAGTGGTGTAGGGTTTCCTGCCTAAGCAGGGGGTTGGATTAGAAGACCTCCAAGGTCCCTTCCAACTCTGTTATTCTATTCCACTCTAGTCCAGTCCAGTCCAGTCCATTCCTGTTCTGTCCCATCCCATCTAGTCTATTCAGATTCCATTCCATTCCAGTCCCGTCCAGTCCATTCCCTTTCCCATTTTCTTTTCTGGATTAATCTTTTATTACATTTTCCTTTTCCTTTATACAATCACTTAAATACTGTGCAGTTAAAAAAAAAGAAGCAATAAAAGGAGAAGAAAGAAGAAAAGAAAAGAAAAAAAAAAGCAACAGTATCCAAGTGCATTCATTGTTCTGAAAATTGAGTCTATATTTCCCCCCCCCCCCCCCC